GCATGATCTTGGCTCACTGCAACCTCCACCTTCCAGGTTCAAGTAATTCTCCTCTCGAGTAGCTGGGACTACAGGTGCCCACCACCACACCGGGCTAATTTTTGTATTTTTAGTAGAGGTGGGATTTCACCATGTCAGCCAGGCTGGTCTTCGAATTCCTGACCACAGGATATCTGCCCACCTCTGCCTCACAAAGTGCTGAGATAATAGGCATCAGCCACCATGCCTGGCCAATATTTTCTTTACTTTGAGAGGAATCTCTGTGAAATGAAGAGTCTACACTTTGAAATCAGACAGACATTGGGTTTAAATCTTTAATATGATTTTAGTAGCTCCCAAACTGGAAATATTATTTAACTTTCTTAACATTTGCATACTCATCTGTAAATGGGGATAATTATACTTTACAGGGTGGTTGTAATACCCAAATTAAACAATATAGGTAGGTTGAGAGACAGAGTCTGGCACCTTTTAGCTGATTTGTTAGCTGATCAGCTAAAGTCAATAAAGAGAGATTAATAAATTATTTTGGATCCATACCACAATCAGGAACTTTTTAAAAATGCTATGCCAGAAAGTCAAGATGTGTTAAAAATTTCAATGTTTTTTTAAAGTACTAGAAGAAAAGAACTGTCTAAAAATACAAGATAAAACAATTAAAAAGGAAAAGAACAATCTAACCACTTAATATATAAAAATATGGTTTGATAAATACTGGTTTATCTTAAGAAAAATTATTCAAATTACCATAAAGAAGGGAAGTTATTCCCAACACATTGAAGGAACAAAATTTAATGAATTTAATTTGTTAATAGTCTTTTTTCAAATTTAGGAGAAAAAGATCAAATCCCAAATTGAAAATAAAAAAAAGTTCACAGATAAAGCAATTTACAAGACAAAAAAATGATAAATTAATAATGTAAATATAAAATAATTTTCTTTTTTTAGATCATTGAATTAAAAAACATAGATAATATCCAGTAATGTAAAGAGTGGCGAATAATGCTACTATCACACAGCATTTGGAACAAGGGTAAATTAATTTAGTATTTTTGGAAGATGCTACAGAAATTAGTGAGAAAATTTTTATGCAGCCTCATTTATACAGAAATTCCACATCTAAGTTTTTAGCCTCAGGAAATAATTGTATACTACAAAATGTTTCATGAACTAAGATACACATTATAGCAGTGATAAAATACAAATGGAAAATAATTTGAAATACCATTAATATGGTCCTGGCCCTGCATACTTCTATAAATAGCTTTAAAAAGGATTAAGGAAGGTCAGGCACAGTGGCTCATGCCTGTAATCTCAGCCCTTTGGGATGCTGAAGTGGGCAGATCACCTAAGATCAGGAGTTTGAGACCAGCCTGATCAACAGGGAGAAACTCCGTCTCTACCAAATACAAAATTAGCCGGGCATGGTGGCACATGCCTGTAATCCCAGCTAGTCAAGAGGCTGAGGCAGGAGAATTGCTTGAACCTGGAAGGTGGAGGTTGTAATGAGCCGAGATCAGGCCACTGTACTCCAGCCTGGACAACAAGATCAAAACTCCATCTCAAAAAAAAAAAAAAAGAGGAAGATCTATATACTGACATGGGAGATGCTTATACTATATTAAGCATAAATAGATGGCTGAATGGTATTTAAATAGAAAGGTAAGATCCCATTTATATATGAAAATACATATGTCACTACTCTTATCTATATATATGAAAAATATATTCACCAGTACATATATATTTTTTATATTTTTATATATTTTTGGATTGGTTTTATTTTGGACAATGGGAAAGGTACCATTATAACTGGAAAAATAAAAACATTTTTATATTGAAAATCAAAACATCTTATATTGAATATATATTAAAAATAAAAGCAAAAATAAAAACATGTTACATTGAATATATATTAATGAATTTAATTTCTTATTCATGTTGGATTTAACAGTATCTATATAAATATTTTTAAGACGAGATGTGTAAGTTCAAATATAACTCAGATTCTGAAGGGTTGGTGTAATATTTATCTCTACACTTTATATTTCATTGTTAAAAAATTTATGCTTAAATATTTTAAGAAACTTCAAATGCTTTTATAAGCCTACCTTAAAACTTCTTCCACCCTACACTGTAATTTTGTTACTATCATAACCACATGAATAATAGAGGCCCAAAATATTCTAGCTTTTCATGTCCCAGAGTTTCCCTCAATCTCAAACTCTTCAAATCATAAACTCAGCTTTGAAATTTTTGACTTAAAAGTCAAAATAGTGGCTCTAGCCACTGTTACTCTTTACAGATGAGTTAACTTTATTTTTTAATTGTCATTACTGTTGTAAATCATGTTGAACTCCAATAAACACTTACAAATGGAAGATTGCCTTTTCATTAAGTTCAGAAGCCAACTCCCAGGTTTAGATCAGAGTATTTCACGGTGACTGCATGTAACTGTAGGTGGGCATGTAAGGGTGTATATGTATGAATCTGTTACTAAGTGTGTATATGCATGTGTGTTGTACATGGAACTGCATACAGACATGCAGGCTGTATACACGTTTATGTGTTCTAGTAGTGAACATGTGTGTATGCTCATGTACATCTTGTGTGTGTATGATATACAAAGACAGAATATCTAAAAATAAAACATTTACAGTGCATTTGAAATGAAGCAATCATTTAGACATTCCCATTTACAAATAGTACTGGGGGATGATAAGATTTTAATCATATGAGGGGAACCATTGCAGGCTTATTGTAAACATCAGCAGCATCTCTGAGGTCAAGTTTACAGGGTAATTACATTTCTGAAAATGGAGACATATGGAATTTTTATGGATCCAGTGTGCAGTGGGACTGAAATCCAAATTTTGGTAAATGAATTTCATGCAAAATATACTTATTCTAAGATATTAAAAAAGAAAAATTATATGCTTGATACTATAGCACCACAAACCTATGTATCTCATAACTGATTCATTTTTTTTCTCAAACTGCAAAGTCAACTCATGTGCACAGAACAACAACAACAACAACAAAAATGTCTGTGGTCTGAAAAGCAGCTAGCCTCAATCCAGGAAGCATAACACTAAAAGCTTAAACACATTTTAGATTTTTGCATATCATTATTATTATTCACTTTCTTTTGGTCATTTGAAATGTTTAGAACTTTTTAAAAGTTGTGAAATAACATTATATAATTTAATGAAACATCCCTTTTTTACCATCTTGCTTCCCTATATTAATTTTGGCATTTTTTTCTCCCCATTTGCTTAATTCAAGTATAGAAAATATATGAAATACAAATTTTTGTAAGATTCATAAACTGATTAAGTGCATCAAAGATGAATGTTTCCCTCTGATTCTTTTATAATTTTCTTTACATTATTTTAAATTCATAATTACATTTCTGAAAAGTAGTGGTACTAATTTTTTGTAAGGACATCAAAGGACATAACAGTATAAGCCTGATTTAGGGAAACATTCATCAATTGGTATTGAAGAAGATTCTATCTTATTACCATGAATAATCTACTTTGGGGCATGTACACATACAGATTGTAATGTGCAGTAAGAAGTTTAAGTATTAGGGAAAAAGCAAAGCAAATTTTCTTTTAGGAATCAGTAATGTGTAAAACAAGGAAATATAACAGGATAAATGAAATAATAAATATTATTCAATATAACATGTATATTTGTATACATAATTAGATTTTCTATTTCTTGATTCTATGTGGAACAGAAGAATGCGTAAGAACTTAAATTCAAAGCAGGAACTTCATGTTGCAATAGATCTCCTTTATTTGGAAATTTTTTAAGGGCTCAAAACAGCTAAAATATAAGAGAATTCCTGAAAAAATATGTTTTATGAAGATTGGCAGATTGAGCTGCCTTAAATTATTTCTGGGACAGGATACGGTATTAGTAAATCAATTAATTCACTGACAACTCAATAAACAAATTATGTTGGCCTCTTAATGGTTTATGAGTTTTAAAAAGTCTTCTATTTATTCACACACACACACACACACACACACACACACACACACACACACAAACTCAATCATTATTTATGTGTACCCTTATGATTGCTTCAATGGAGAAATCAAAGAAGTAAGAACATACCCTAAGAGCAGAATTTTCTAGGGTTCTGTCTTTTAGAATGGATTGATTTTGTGCCCACAACAAGAATATTCATTTGCAAACAGATCATTTGAGTTTGGAGTCTTTTTATTTGGTATTTACCATAAGTCAGATGGTTGTACTCATGATAGTGGCACTCAGGATGTAGGAAAGAGTAGTATTCAATAGAAAAACAGGGATAAATCATTGGAGTACCAGTGTATTAGACAGAAATGGCATAGTCATGTGCCTACAAAAGCAGTTTTTGCTTCAGTGTAAATAAGAAATTATTAAATGAATCAATAAGTAGCAAAATAGATGGAAAAAGATAATTACATGTCTACATAAATGCACTTATAGAATAAATTTTCTTTCTGAACAATAAACTTTCTTGAACAGTACGCTTCTTGAATAGTAGTTTTTACACGTCAGAAAAATACATCTTCCTTTCTCTTACTACCCATAAATGGCAAAACTCTGTTATTCTGTTATCAAACTCACTGAAACCAAACAACAAACCGAGAATTCAATAGGGTGGATCTCCACAAATTGATTGGATACTTGAAATTACCTGGGATGCTGATTAAACATTTAAACATCCGGGTTCCACTTAGACCTACTGAATCCAAATATCCACAGGAGAATTATTAAGATTAGGTAAGACAACTTGGAAATAAATACGTCACATGTTGTAGACAGTCACTTATTCTGATTATTATATACCATGTTGACAATTATAATAACCACCTTGCTTTTTAAGGGTTGGGATAAGACAGCAACAATTCTGACCTGATGTTATTTTTAATTGTTTGGACCAAAAAAGAACGGGAAAAAAATAGTTTTCTATGTTTTAAATGTCTGAGTAATGTACTTACTACAGTTTTCAGCTTTTCTATTGTCCCGGATTACTATTCTTTGGTTGATTGTGCTGAAGAGTGTTGTCCAGTTAATGGTATGATAATAACATAGGTTGCTGTTGTCTGTAATATAGATGTTTCCTGCGCTGATTTCCTTCAGGGACTGGAACTGTAGAGAGGTGATGCCCTGTTGCTTGAGGATAAGCAAGGAGAGGCCACTAAGGAGGAGGGAGGGAGAAAATGGAACAATGAAAGCATTCTAGAAGTAAAATAAGGCTGTCACATTTTATTTCAAAAAGAATGTTAATGGAGTATAAACAGAGGCTGAATCCATAAATCTGTGTTTAGAATGGTATTCGTTTTTACATGCTATATATTATCAGTTTTTAAAGTAATAATTTGACCTCCCAAAGTAAAATGTCCATTGCTTGCAGTTATACATATTGGCAGTATATCTCTATTTCTGTGTATATATTTACCACTGAAATGTCTGGTCACTATCTTCCCACCCCAAGTCTTAACTTTATGTTGTTCAATGATGAAATCCTGTATTAAGAGTAAAGACATGTTTATAAAATGAATGTTCATCTACTCAAAGTAAGACATTAATTCTTCTTTAACTGTGTAATAGATTTGGACATAGTTTCAGAGGGTAGATAGTACAGAAAATGATTGTAAGTATTTAGCTTTAATTTATACCTCAGACATCAAAGAACTGTAATAATTGAGGAATGTATAATAAGGTTAGGAGATAGTAAAAAGCAAAGAATAAAACTAAACTAAAATTTAAAAAAGAAAACAAACTTAGATGCCTTGGGTATCTGGGGAAAAGGTCTCTAAAAGTTAAATAACAACTGCTCTGTTTAAAACAATATCATTTCAAAGGAACTGCTTTTAATATAGTTCACTTTTTTGTAATTACTTACTTTTCCATTCTCTAAAGAATAAACATGCTTCCCACATTTCAATTAGCCAATAAATATTATTTTACATTTTGGAGACCAAAGCTTTCCCCTTTCATTTATAATTTTAAATATTCTTTGCTGTTAATATTTAGAATTATTTTCCATGGGTGTCAGAGTGTGTGTGTGTGTGTGTGTGTGTGTGTGTATGCTCAATGATAAAGACTAACATGTAACTCTTTCTCTCAAATTTTGTCCCCATCGTCACTCTCTTGAGTTGTTGATTACAATGTTAGCATAACGTCTTGACTGTCCTATAATATTTATTCAATGGATAGTAAAAGTTGTTTATATATAGCACTTGAATAGATGGTATCGCTCAACTATCCTTTCTTATTAAGTTCCTTTCTCCTTTACATTTTTAAAACCTCTTATAGATATAACTGTTTTGAATTTTAATAGTAAAATTCAATATACTTTTAATAAAACATTATAAAATCAATGATGATATTAATTTTAGAGATATTTTGAATTTAAGTGGACAAATTTTAAAAATTCTTATGTAAATTGACTTTTTATTGCTCAAACTAAAAACATTATACAGATGAAATCAGATAAACCTGTTATTTATTGTTATAATGTGAATTTAAATTACTGACACTATAATCTTATCAATGTTCTTCTAAACCTGAATTCTTTTGTCCATTTATTAACCAGCACTACATGTAGAGTGGTGGGCCAGTTCCTAAAACATCAGCCCTGTGATATGCAGTTAAAATTATAGCACCAGAGACAAAAAGAGCACCTCCTAGCACGACAGTATTGATATCCTATACATCCAAGCCATTACCAAGTCACACAACTCTTATCTTTTAATTATGATAAATCTGATCAAAATGAAAGTTTAATTGAATTGCTCACATCATGTACTCCATACTTGCAAAATACTCATATTACGTGGAGTGACAAACAATTGAAAAATCAAACTATGTATTCTGTAATACTTCATACGATCATCAGAGGTATTTTCATTGGAAATAAGGATAGAAGCATGATTTCCCCAGAATCAGTAAATCAGTAAGACTGATGGTTTTGACTTAATGAACACACAATGCTCCTCTTGAAATTTGTGAGACCTGGAGTGTTAAACATATTCACTTACCTATAGAGTACTCTTCCACCAATGGTCACCAGGTTAGAAAAAACACTGAAGTCAGTCATGTTTGGGGGCCATGACTGTATGTTCAAGAAACCTACAAGTGAAGAGTAGTAAAAATAAATCAGTATATCATCATCTTAGTATTAGTGTAGATTTTTCTTGAAATATAGTGAAAATGTGTTGAAAGGAGGGAAGTGAGGAAGGATAATGAAATTTCTATTTTTGAAGTACTCTATTACATATGTATTTTTCCAAGATTGAGTGTCCTACTCAATGAAACTATAAATGTTGAAAGGTTCCAATGACTCAATTTGATTTATTTTTATAAATGTAAAAATGTAGTCTAACTAAAGAGAAAAATATAGTTTCAATTTCTCTGAAATCTTTTACCTCTTCATCTGTACACTTATGACATCAGTGTCAACATTGTATCCTAAGACATTAATATACACATCTAAACTTTCTCATTAGAATTTGCATTATTTTATGGTAAGTCCATGTCTGAATCATATCTATGGGCCCCACATTACCTACTAAGACAGTGTTGAACACATTATATGCTCAATATAAATGTGCTAAATAAATGATACATGTTATCCATGATCAATAGTATATCTCCTGAAGAGGTAAACAGAAAAACATAGGTCAAAGATCAGTTGACAATTGCCAAAGTAGTAATGTCAAAATTTCAAAGATATTCATTATATAATTCCATGGGCTTTGAAAATGTGCATAAAAGCTAATAAGACGCCACTGTTAAAAATAAGAGTTTTTACAAACCAAAATTTGCTTTGAAAATGAGATGCTGATTCCAATCTTATGTAACTTTTTTTTGAGACAGAGTCTCCCTCTGCTGCCAGGCTGGAGTGTAGTGGCATGATCTCGGCTCACTGCACTCTCCGCCTCCCGGGTTCAAGCGATTCCCCTGTCTCAGCCTCCGAGTAGCTGGGATTACAGGCATGCACCACCACACCCAACTAATTTTTGTATTTTTAGCCGGGACGGAGTTTCACCATGTAAGCCAGGATGGTCTCAATTTCCTAACCTCATGATCCACCCCCCTTGGCCTCCCAAAGTGTTGGGATTGCAGGTGCAAGCCACCGTGACCGGCCAATCTTAGGTCATTTTATTTAAAAAGTTTATATTGTTCATAGCACAACAGTTGCCCTTTAAAAAATTACCTGTTATCTCCCTGACTGTCCGAAAGACATTCAGTTTCTCTGGGTCTATGGCTTCAATTGCATTGTAAGGGTCCCTAGAAAACAAGAAGATACATAGCCAAATTTAAATTTTAATAAAGGAAGGAAAATATGAGAAATGTTACAATAATTATTTTATTCAAATTTAATTTTAATTAACAAGAAGGATGTTTTCAATGAATGTCTAAATTTTTCTGTTCTCGATGTAGAAGGGGAATAATAGATGATTTTGAGGAAATTTTTGATGACACAAAATATGAGTTTTACATCAAAGGCTATTCTAGATCTATACAAATAATCAGCTTCAACTATTCTGATGAAATTCCCAAAGATAATAAGTTCATGTAAAATCCATTTTATTTCATTTCGTTTTAAAAGTTATTCTTAATTGAGAAGAATATATGTAGTCTGGAAATAAATTCTAGTGAGAACAATTGGCATTTCTGCTCCTCAAAGAAGCATACATTGCTAATAGTATCTGGTGTCATAAGGAGAGTAACAAACACAGATAAAATCAACAATTTTTCTGTAGCTCTACATTTATCTACTTGTGAATTTTCATAATATTCATAGCATTGTCTGAAAGTTTCTCTTCATATGGATTACTTAGAACCATCCTGTTCCTATCTAGCTTATTCATATCCATGTTTATAACACAGGAACTATTCACTTTCAAGTATATGAATTCAAGCAAGACTTAAAGATTTTTTTAAAGGAGTGCACAGTAAGTTTTAAAATGTTATTATATTAAAAGACATTTCATACTATCCTGGGTAGAGACCTCATGATATATATTATTTACAGAGAGATAAAATTTTCTCCATTGGCTACTTCTTCAAGATAGATCAAAACTATATGAACAGTGATCTTAGGTTTTTTTAGAAGTATGTGTCTATCTGCAGCAGCCAAACAAATTTTATTCTTACTGTGGACATCTCTTCTTTTACCAGTCTCTGAGAACCCTCCTTTTTGGTATGGCAAATAACCACCAGTGACCCACTATATTCAGCCTTAATAGGGCTCTCAATCAATGTGCTCCACAATCCCCTGACAAACAGATAGGGATATGGCCTATGTCCTGGGGATTTGTGCCTAAATTCATTGGCATTTATTCATGCCAGCATTCAAGCCTTGAAAAGAGTATCAGTTCCAGCAACCATGATCTCTGGAATCATCTTGTACTGGCTTTCTGAACTTAGTTCATCAGCACATTCTTCTCTACTGTGAACCATTCCATATTTTAACAAAACAAAACAAAACAAACAAAACAAAACAAAACAAAACAAAAAAAAAAACTGTGCTTGATTAAATTACTGTTTCAAACTAAGAAGTGCAATCAATACAATGTACTACTAGTTAACATGAAGTGCTTTATTCCAGGCTCAAATACTGGATATTGCTGAGGTTGGAGAAATGCTATAAATGTGTTTCCCTGTAATTCACACATAAACTATTGATTAAAATTTTCTCAATGTCACATTAATATCTCACAAAAGCTTAAAGTCTCAATTAAATGTTCTAGCAAGCTTGCTCTATTTATAAGCAAAGATATATGGAACAAATAACTATGCTTTAGAAAACTCTTCACTTTTTAATGTGTAAAGAATTTTGTATACACAGGAAAATAACAGCTCTGCAGCACAAGAATGAGCTTTCAACATTTGTTCTTTGATGAAAATCAGTGTATAGAACAGCTCAGGTCATATAATCAAATATCCTGGCTTTATTGAGAAAGACTCAAAATTCAGGGCAAGCACACAATAATGGGGTCAGTGTAAACCTTTACTGAGAATACTTCCATGTTGCTGGGAATGAAATGAATCCTGGAATGTTACTATGAAGCCCAATGGACCAGAGATATTTTACACAGTTAATTTTAGAGATTCAGGACTCTCGTAAAATAAGTTGACAGAATTCCACTCACTGACTTCGAATTATGTTTTGGGAGTTGCATCGTACAGCTACTCAAAATCCATAGTACTTTAAATCAGTTAATTTTCCTAACTAAATTCAGAGCCATGCAAAATAACATTATGTCTACCCTGTCATTGTGTTTAGTGATCCAGAATAAAGCTCAGGAGAAAGAGAGTGAAACATTTTCACTGAAATCACTTCATCACCAAGCTTATTATTTATCTTCCATTTTCTAGCACCATTGCAGTCTACCATGTAAACCATTTCTTGTAGTGTCTCATTGTGACACAGCATGAACATGCTTATTTGGTGAGCATTTTGTTGCTGTAAGCACATGCACGTCAATGGTGTAAACCATAACAAAACACGAATGAAAAGTTTTGCTAATGATAACCCGAAACACTGAAGTTTCCTGCAGTTTCCATTCTAAAAAGAAAATGAGTGCCTACTGCTATTTCTCGCAATGGTACTATTGTACTATAAACTAAACATGCAAATTAACTTTCTTGAGCCCAATTATACATTTAAATTCTAATTGGCAAGTTGCCAGTAAATATATTTTATGGAGAAACTTGTTTTTAAAAACAATAACAACCGCATTTAAGTATTATTTTTGCATTTTATTAATTAAAACATCTCAGCTATTTTAATCAAACCATATGATCTTATAAAAGTTGGTTAGTAAAATACTAAAGGTAACGGACATTAAGTGAGGAAAAGCATTTCTTTAATTTATTGTTTCTGCTTATAATATCATATATTATTGACTTTAAAAATATCTCTGTCTACACACACACACACACACACACACACACACACACACTTCATGACCATACTTGAATCTATACATATATTACATATCTAAGTCTGCTGAATTAACTTTATATCCATACTTTCCTAAAATAAAAGAGAAAGGCTTCAGAATATATGTTTCATGCTGGCATGACAGTGAGAACAAAGAATACGTCATAATTCATTTACATGCTTATCCTGGAAAAATCTTATAAATTATATTTGAGACCCAATTATAATTATAATTTCAAATATTCCAGGTATAAGTGCTATGATTAAGGACAAATAATCATCTGAACTGAGAAGCATGACTCATCTTGAGGAAAATTTTGCCTTTATTTGGTTTCCAAAAGGGTCTATATAAGACTATAATCAAGTCTATACAATTAATATTTGTTGTACAATATGCTATGCTATAAACTAGACATAGGCACTGCAATTGTTCTTTTGCACTGCCTTCTCCTCCTGTTTTGTTTTTCCTTGATTTTCATTTCTCTTTATTCCCATCCTTCTCTCACTCTCTCTCACCCTCTTCCCTTCCTTCCTGCACTTCCAACCTTCTATTTTATACCGCTTGTTAAGGTTTTACGATATGTCAGGCACTGGGCTGAGCAATTCAAAATAATTTGTTTTTAATCACCACAACAATCATAGGAAATAGGTATTTATTGTTAATCCATTTATCAAGTTTTTTATTGGAGGAAACCTAGTGTTTGACATGAAAGAAATCCACCCAGCTCAATGCAAACTCTCCATAGTGGAGCTGCAAATCAGACTCCAATCTACTCTGGATCAAATTACCCAAGAAGAAATTCTAACTCTCATTTTATGAGTTTACGTTTAAGACAAACTTGGTATACTTTTTACTTTTAATCCATGTAAGCTGATTTTCCATAAGTAATTTTTCACCGGGATAAATTAGCAGTATTTTTCTTCTTAGAAGTCTAGGTTAGTCCAAAGTAGTATTCTTCCCATAAACTTGTAAATGCATGGTCCTTACTGTCTTATACATTTTTATTCATTTGACTACTGCTTTCCATTTTTTATTGTATTTATTTATTAAACTTTCCTCCATTCTGAGCCAGAAGTGAATATAAATATATTTAGTCATTATAGTCATTCTAGAGGTTTTGTTTGTTTGTTTGTTTGACGGAGTCTCACTATCTCTGTTGCCCAGGCTAGAGTGCAGTGGTGCAATCTTGGCTCACTGCATCCTCTGCCTCCCATGTTCAAGCGATTCTCCTGCCTCATCCTCCTGAGTAGCCGGGACTATAGGCACGTGCTTCCACACCAAGCTACTTTTTGTATTTTTAGTAGAGCCTGTGTTTGACCATGTTGGCCAGGATGATCTCGATCTCTTGACCTCGTGATCTGCCTGCTTCAGCCTGTCAAAGTGCTGGGATTACGGGCATGAGCCACCGTGCCTCGTCAGAAATCTGGAGTATTAATAATTATGTTCTATGATGAACCAAGACTAAAATAACTATTCTGAACCTCAATAGATCATATATTTTTGAAACCTTCCTACCCATGTTTTATCTGTAAGAATTTTAGACTTAGCAGGTCACTTTTGGTGGTTGGCAATCTTTCTACTGTCACAAAATTCTTGCAGTATTTCTCAGTGGGGGCAGTACCACCCACTAACAGAAAGTTGTCACATCTGTAGAGTTGCTTCAGTTGTAACAGAGATTGGGGAATCCTACAGGTTACAGGGGTTATCACAAGGTTGTTAACTGTCCCTTAAATCAAAGGATTGCCTCATGTTTTGTACAACCTTAAAATACCCTACTAGACATTTAGGACCTCATACGTGCAAACTTGATGCTTGGTCATACTTTGGCCAGGCATAATTCCCTAGCTGTGTTGCTCCAATTTCACTTGATCTTAGCCAAAAAGCCAAGAAGCAATTTACTCAAATTTCAATGAAAGTCATTTCCCTCTTTTTTTGGTCATATAACAATGTATCTGGTTAGTTATTTTCTATTCCAGTGGTCAGCTTTTCCTTTGCTTTTTATTTCCTGATACTTCTTACACAAAAATGCCTTCTAATCTCATTTTTCATAAATCCAAATTTTCACATTGGAAACTGTGCATCCCCGTAGCGATATATATTTGATTGTATCTTACTTTTTTGTATTTCTTTGTATAATTACAACTAGAGAATTATAATAATTAGATATATATCTATATCTATCTGTCTATCTCTCTCTATATATATATGTAAGTCATGTTATCTATAAATTTTATTTCAGAATTGCAAAGTGGCAATTTCTTAATGTATAAAAGCAGAATGTTGGGCCAATAAGGATAAAAACCACCTGTCTAATGCAATTCATGTGAATATGATTTCAACTCTTTCTTCACACTGAAAGGCTTGAGGCTAATTCATTTATTATTTCCAGGTGAAAGCAGGCAATGTGAGTCAAGTGGCTCTCTCTTCTTATTTCTCAGAAGACATTATTAGCATAATATAATCTTATATTCATGTGATATTTGGTTTTAAATATAGTTAAAATGTGGGTATATTGCTTTATTAAATATCATGTATGCATTAAATTATGAAACAGCACCTAAATATCGTCCCAGATCTCTTATGCAATGATCCAAGGAGGGTAAGACAGCAATGTAAATGGATTCACAAGGTCAGGGGGACTATGGTAAAGCTGACTAAATGTGTCCCATCTCTAAAGGACTAGTGCCACTAATAGGTTTTGGCTGTGTCCCCATCCAAATGTCATCTTGAATTGTTTTCCCATAATTCCCACGTGTTGTGGGAAAGACCCAGTGGGAGGTTACTGAATCATGGGGGTGGGTCTTTCCCATACTGTTCTCATGATAGTGAGTATGTTGCATGAGATATGATGATTTTATAAAGGGGAGCTCTTTACACAAATTCTCTTTTGCATGCCACCATGTAAGACATGCCTTTTTCCTCCTTTGCCTTCTACCATGATTGTGAGGCCTTCCCAGCCATGTGAAACTGTGAGTCCATTGAACCTTTATTTCTTCGTAAATTACCCAGTCTTAAGTGTAACTTTATTAGCAATGTGATAACTGACTAATCCAGCTTCCCAGTTCCAACAGAATGTTGCCATGTAGGAATATGGGCTGAGAATTACCAAGTCTATACATTTTAAGAGGTAAGTTAGAAAAAAACATTTCTTAGGCCAGATATAAAAAATATGGGGTGGGGACCACCTACATACTATTATACTATCTAACATGGGACCATATTAAATGCTACCTATTAAAATAAACAAGATATTTAAGCAATCATACATATAATTTATTTGAATGAAAAGAAACATTTTGTTCTATTGCTCTTCCCATTCCTCTTTGGACATATTTATTCATAATATGTTAAATTAGTTTGCTTTTAGAAATGATTTGATATATGCTCAGAGTAAGATTTTGAATTGAAATATATGAGACATAGTCTTTATCTGTAGCCTACAACACTAATATTTAGGGATTAAGTAGTAATATAGATAAATAGATAACATGCAAAGTTAAAATACAGACTTTCAAAGAATACAAACTTGTTTTTTTCCCAGTTAAAACCAGCAGGTAGTTCTGTAATGAAGGATCCCAGGTAAATTATGTTACAATTTTTACTACTAAAATGAAATTCATTTAGCAGGATTTCTCACTGTGTTGCTAACTTCCCAACTGAAGGGAAAAAAAAAAAAAGAATACATGAGGACAAAGAATTTCTGGAACAAGCTCAGGGGAATTTCGGCTTACTGATTTGTTTTATGTCAGACTTTTTACAGGGTATTAATTTACATTGTTTCAACCTAATCAGTTAGAAATTTGAATGACTTCTCTCACCTCAACTGGTGATACTTTTTCCTAAACATATTCAAAGATAAGTGAAGCTTGCTGAAAACTGTGAATTTGAGAGAATGTCCTAAAAATATATTTTAGTTTAAATACAAATTTATATTTTCAACCTTAAGCAGTCACCAAACTAAAATTTGAGCAAATTCCAAAACTAGTTTACTGTCACTTCTGGTGAAATCAGGCCCTTGCTTTTGCAGGTGAGGAGCATTAATGAAAGGTAAAAGTCTTCAGGTTCCAGAGGAATCAAACAAACAAAACTAAAGAATCTCTCCAGCTTTGTCTACACTTTGTAAAATGATTTGTACAAAAATTTAATACTGACCCATGAATACCAGTGACTAAAAAGATCAAATTCCCATTGATCTTGGTACAGTTTATGAATTTGTCAATGTTACTGGAATCCACAGTCTGAGCTGACATCAGTGATCCTGTGCCAATGCCATCACAAGCTGTAGAAATGAGACTCAGAGTTAGGGGATTGAGGAACTTATTTTTGGCCAATAAATCATTGTATTTTCACTATAAAATAGCAGAATATTTTTAATTGTAACATACAAAAATATATTACATTTTTTTTTTCTAAAAAGTAAAATAATTATTCATTCATTGATTCAACATTCACTACTGGTTCTGCTTTAAAATCTTGTCCCTGAATTAAAATCTAACGACCATGACTCATCATAGGAATTACATTTTATATCAAGACCCAGTATACACACACACATAACATATGCACAACTCTAACAGAAATTTTATCAATCAATACTCCTCCTAACTACATAAAATTATCTATTTTCTACTCTATTTGAAAATATTGTTTTTAATAATTTTGAAATGCTGGTAACTTTAGTAAAATAATTTCATGGCCTACATACTAATGGTCTACCACCTGAAATTTTAAAAACAGTGGTCTAATGGAGAATATGTAAACAGAGTTCTGATGATGTGAATTATAATCAGAATCAAGGGCCATTTAAATACTTATACTTAAATTGAACATGCTTTCTGAAGCTTCTAATTTAAACAAACAAATCTGTGTGGGGGTGGGGCATATATAGAAAAAGAAAGAGGGAATAAGAAAGAAAAAGAGAAAGGGGAGGAGAGAGAATACCATTTAAAAATATGTCTGGAGTTTGTCCTTTGCTAAGGCACTCCTTGATACTTTGAAAAGTTTAATAACATTCAGGAGATTCAAACTGTACTCTCATCTTGCTTAGTTTAGGTTTCATTCTGGTGAGGAATTAGAGTACTCACAGCTGGAAGAGATTCCTTCCTCCACTAAAATTCTGTGGCATGAATTATGGGATATATTTATTTTATACTTATGGTAAAGTTTCTCATCATTTCATAGATGTCAGCTTTCAAAATACATTTTTAAGATATGGAGAGTAAATTTCATGTCCCTCTGCATCTCTTTTCATGCTTAGCAGGTCACTTTGTATATAGTGGTAAGCAACTAATATGTGTTGTGATGCCAATACAGCCGTGTGAACTCTTATTTTTTACAAAGTTTTTAAGATTTGCTATTGACAGAATAACACACAACTTTATTTCTGAGTTCCTATCAATGTTACCTCTGAGTTTTTTTCTGGACCATTTTAGTAGATACAATTTAAATTGAATAATATACAGTGTTATAAAAGTTGATATTTTGAGGAACTGTCCAAAATCCTGGAAAGCATGTGTGGGCAGGTTTGGTTGTGAGGGTGGGTTTATATTAAAAAGTGAATTAAAAACCTTGTTATATAGGCCCAGTTCTAACTAAATAATCTGAGCTACCACTTACCTTTTGGGCAAATATCAGTGCAAGGTTTACACATTTTAATCCCATTTTCTTCTACTTCCATCTTGGAACTAGGGCAGGCACGCACACAAGAACTGGAATCTACCACAAAGTTATCTGTTTTTTTTTTTAATAAAAAGGCAAAATAAGCAATAATGTTAACATTCAGCAGACAAGATCAAAACAAGATATTTTAAGGTTTGAAAATAATTAGCATCATTGATACTATTTATATATCTTCCCCTTAAACAACTCATTGTTTAATTATCCCAACCTGAAATCGTATTTCCAGTCAAATGCAATGTGTGTTATCAACAGCTAGTACTTGCTTGGTTACTGCTCCACATCCTGAATTGCCCCCAAGATACAGTAGATTTCCTTTATACACTTAGAAAACTGCATGACATTTAGCTTGTGTTTTTCAATAGTTCCACTTCATTTCATGCCATGATGCAAGTCTGCAGTCTAAAATACTTCAAGTTCATGAAGCACAAATGAAGCTGAAGCTGAACTGCCTCGGATCAACAGAGTATACTTCATATCCAGGAGAAAATGCTTAAAATGTGTTCTTTTTTTCAATGGAGTACCATGAAAACTTTCCCACATTTTTATATGAGGAAACAAAATAAAATTGGAAAGGGTAGTACTTTAGCAAAAGGTTTATCAAATAGACAAGGAGCACTTTATTACCTAATACTTGGATCAAATGTCCAGAGATCCAGTGACCTGGGATATGCCAGAACATCCCCTCCAAAATAAAGGACAAATTATTACATCTAAAGACTCTCATAATAAATAGGAACACAATACTTGCTAGGCCACTCTGGTTTTAAAACAACAAAAAGTAGCATCCTTCCGTGCTTGGGAACATTGCTCTGGCACAAGATGCAATGTTGTGGAATGCTTACAGCCTTGAGGGGTACCCAAAGCAGAAAAGGCAGATCATGTAGATCTAGGTTGTGATGTAAGCAATCTTGCTACTTGGGTCATAAAATCCAAGAGGGTCTATGATATTGGGAGTATCTACAGTGGGAAAACATGCCATGTAGAGTTATGACAAGTTTCATTAGACAATCACAACAGAGACTTCTAGGTTTCTAGAGCTAAGCTATGCCACCTGTAGCATAGGAGTGTACACCATTTAATAAACAGCATTTGATATGCTTCTGGGTCCTGGTAGAGATGGATCTTGGGTCAGACCTTGTAGCCAGAATTGCCTGTCATGAACAGGGTTTTGTTATCATGTCACAATGCTATCATACTGGCTAGGTCCAGCAGCAATCCATTGTAAAATTAAAGTAGGATATGAGTAGGGGCAGAAGCAGGAGTAAACTGCATAAGCAAATGGTTAAGACCCGCCCCCCTGTGCCATCCACCACTGAGCTGGCCCCTCTCAGTCAGCTCATGCCTGTGGCTGTGTGGGTGCTGAGAGAATTCACTTAGGACAAGCTGACAGAGTAAGACATAAACTAGACTTGCTATGTGGGTATGAGCTGACAATCGATGGCAGCTTCTCTGTCTGCAGTCTCACTTACGAGTGGACTTGAAACAAAGACAAGAGAAAATCTTACCAAAGGGCATAATTCTAGGTAGTGAAACTGATTACTCATTCGTATGAAAAGAGAAGTAGCCTGAGCTTAGAATATATATGAACTCACGAGCTTGTCCTGGGAGAAGAAATACTGGAAAAATTGAGAAGGAAGGGAATCTGGGGCAAGGAGATATGTGTGAATCCATGTGAGTGGGCACAAAGTATGGAACAAATGTGTATTCCAAGTTAACATCCACATGAAAGCATCCACCACAACAAACAGGCACTTTGTTTAAAGCAAATCCAATCTTGCTTTCTTTCCTTCCCCAAAAAGTGTTGATTTTGAGACTGCTCCTTAATAATCCATTCTCTGTCTCAGGGAAACCCAACCTGCAACAGGTACATACATGATATTAAATAGCCATTCTTTCTTCAAGGTCTTGTGATACGGTTTGGATCTATGTCCCCACCCAAATCTTATGTGGAATTATAGTCCCCAGTATTGGAGGTGGGACCTGGTGGGAGATGACTGAATCATGGGGGCGGCTTCTCATGGTTTAACACCAACCCCTTGGTGTTGTCATGGCAAGAGTGAGTTAGCATGAGCTCTGGTTGTTTAAATGTATGTAACACCTCCTGCCTCTCTCTTCTTCTTGCTCCGGCTGTGTAAGACACACTTGCTTCCCCTTCACCTTCACTGTGATGGAAAATTTCCTGAGCCCTCCCCAGAATCCCTCATGCTTCCTGTATAGCTTGCAGAACCATGAGCCAATTGCCCCTCTTTTGTTTAACAATTACCCACTCTCAGGTATTTCTTTATAGCAGGATAAGAACAAATTAATGCATCTTGAAAAATATGCTACAATGAAACACTTTCCCAGTTCTGCCAAATGGAATAGGTAAATATTATAATTAGCCTTATATCAGTTAGATTCAACTTTTGTAGTCAAATGAGTTTCAGAAAATACATGTTTGGAGTTTTTTGATTTCAGAATTCTGGATTAGGAAATGCAGACCTGCATTTAGAAGATTAATGTCCTTGTTTTCCCAAGAAAGCTTCAATTTGGCAAACCAAGCCTTATAAGCCACGCCCATCAGAGATTTAAATTTTTTCATAGGCAAATACCGAAATGTTTTAAATGAGTCTGTAGTTTGAGATACGTAAACTAATGTGAGAAAGGAAGACGGTAAGTTATCACATTTAAAGTGAACCAGCCATATAATTTCACACAATAGGTCTTCATATTTAGTCACTTGCTAGTTGCTATAGTTTGGAACTGACAGCCTTCAAAGTGAACCACTGTAAAGGATATAGTAAAGAAAAGGGGAATTCCCTAGTTCAAATTTACCTGGTACTTCTGCTCTAGCCCAACCCTTGGGCTTCAACCTCAGGACTTGAATAAAAGGGATAGCACCAAAAAACTCCAAGAAAGCATAGTTTTGACTGTCTTTGGGGAAGACATCATAATTTGAAAGTAGTAGAGTATAACATGTAGTAGTATAACATGTGTCTAAAAAGAGGAAAAATACGATCATCTAGCCCCATCCTACAACACTGCCAAGTCCTCAGTTTTGTAAGGATGCTAGATGGTGACATATAGGGTAACTTTAGATAAGAGGGTATTAGGTGAAAAGCACTGGTGTGAATATTAAAAATTTAAGAAGTGAAATCTTTGCTGTCTTAGAGTTGGTGTGTCTGTGACTTTAAAATGTCAATTAAGAGATATATTAAATATATATTAAATATACATACATATAAATATAAAGAAGGCAAAGCACAATATTTTTAATGGATATGAACATGTTTCATAATAATGACTAGAATTGTGTTTTCAAAGCCTTTTTAAATAATCTACTCCTCTTGGCCAGGCGTGGTGGCTCATGCCTGTGATCCCAGCAATTTGGGAGGCCAAAGCTGGTGGATCACCTGAGGTCAGGACTTCAAGACCCGCCTGGCCAACATGGTGAAACCTCGACTCTACTAAAAATACAAAAATTAGCTGTGCTTGGTGGCATGTGCCTGAAATCCCAGCTACTCAGGAGCCAGAGGCAGGGAAATCACTTGAACCTGGGAGGCGGAGGTTGTGGTGAGCCAAGATTGCACCATTGCACTCCAGCCTGGGTGACAGAGCAAGACCCTGTCTCCAAAAATAAAAATAAAATATCTATCCCTCTTATCCTTATATCCTACCTATCTCTTTGATTGTTATAATGACTCTGGAAAGCAGGGAAGGAAAATAAATACATTTATTTTTAAGACAGAGTTTTGTTCTTTTTGCCCAGGCTGGAGTGCAATGGCATGATCTCGGCTCACTGCAACCTCTGCCTTCCAGGTTCAAGCATTCTCCTACTTCAGCCTCCCAAGTAGCTGTGATTACAGGTGTGTGCTAACATACCCAGCTAATTTTTGTATTTTTAGTAGACACCAGATTTAACTATGTTGGCCAGGCTAGTCTCGAACTCCTGACCTCATGCGATCCACCCACCTCAGCCTTCCAAAGTGCTAGGAATACAGGCATGAGCCACCGCATCTGGCCAGAGATATAATTTTTATAACCCACATCTTAAAGAAGAGGGAATAGAGAACTAAATGTTTTATTTAAAAATCATGTAACTAATAAAGAGACAAAGCCACAATCCATAGACACTCTAATCCCATGTCCCTTATACAGATTGAGTATCCCTTACCCAAAATGCTTGGGACCAGAAGTGTTTCAGATTTCAGAATTTTTGGGATTTTGTAATATTTGCATAAACATAATGAAATACCTTGGGGCTTAGACCCAAGTCTAAAAACTATATTCAGTTTTTATGAATCACATACACCTTTACGTATGACCTGAGGTAATTTTATATGATATTTTAAGTAATTTTTTCTGTGAAAGGCAGTTTGTGTACATTGAACCATCAGAAACAAAGGTATCACTATCTCAGCCACCTGCATGGACAATCTGTAGTTATTTGGCATCACCATCATTCATGACACTAAATTTATATATTACTGATAAGCAATCACATTCTTACACTTATTCACACATAAATATGTAAAAGTAAAAAAAAAAAAAAAAAAGTATACCACTAACACAGTGAAAAGATATTGTGCTCAGAATAACTAGGTATCACAGTAGAATCACCAGAATACCTGTATCAGCTGTGAAACAAGAGCAACAATAAACAATGCAGGCTTTTAGTGTCTACCTATGACGCTGTGTTTTGATTAAAAGGTTACTATACACTGTGTTTTCTTAGGTACAAAGAAACATCAGAAACAGTTGAGGAATCAGGGAATGGGTCCTACAGGGATAAGGGGGCTTTCTGCTTGGATGGCTTTCTAAAATGTTTCCTCCGGGGTCATCTGCCTCATTAACAATGAATTTTGTCTTAGAAGTCTCGTTTTAATTGCATAAACTCACATGATTTCTTGTTCTGCTATGAATATACCATGCCCTAGTCCTTCAATAAGCTCATTACACATTTTCATCAAGTCATCTCTAGGAACTTTTTATGCAATGTTAAAAAATCTTAACTGTCACTATTACCACAATCGCTTTTATACAGAGCCACTTCAGCTATTTCACCATCAGTCAATAAAGGAACAACTTGTTATCAATGTTAAACACTTCTGTGATATCCACTTCTTCCAGCTTACTGACGAATTCTGAAAATATATTTTTTTCTTACTTGGCATAGGGAATCTTTCCAAGCAACTACCTTTTCCCTGAACATAGTCACAGGTCAGAGGTTGTACCAGGCATGCAAAACTGTGTCTTTAATTACTGTGTTCCAAGCACTGACAACAGCGTATACAGCATTCTTCAGGCTAAGCTCCTTTTGAAAACCTACCCACACCCAGGCCTCTGTTCACTGCTGCTAGCATGCTGCTCATGCCTGTAATCCCAGCACTTTGGAAGGCCAAGGTGGACGGATAATGGGGTCAGGAGATCAGACCATCCTGGCTAAAACAGTGAAACCCTGTCTCTACTAAAAATACAAAAAAATTGGCCAGTTGTGGCAGCAAGTGCCTGTAGTCCCAGCTACTCGGAAGGCTGAGGCAGGAGAATCGCTTGAACCTGGGAGGTAGAGGCTGCAGTGAGCTAAGATCTGCACCACTGCACTCCAGCCTGGGAGACAGAGAGAGACTCTGTCTCAAAAAAGGGGAAAAATGTGTTTTTGTATTTACTCTTCATTTACTCTTCAGACTATAATGAAGGATAGTCTGGTTACATGGCTGAATTAATGAAGTCATATTTGGGGGAAAGTACATGGCATAAACATTATTTTTGATGAGAGTTTCAGCTGCAGGATGAGTAGAACAGTTGTTGAGAAAAAACAAAATCTCATAGTCATCATCCAGTCCAGGTTCCCAGCAGTGAGCAGGAAGTGCTGGTTCAAAATGCTTGAGTGAAGTCAATAAGAAAAGTTGTTCTGGTAACCCATGCATTTTTGGTAGCCTAATAATTGACTGGTAAGAAGTTCTCTTTGGAGACAGTGAGGATGCAACCTTTTGCCTACCATAGCAAGTTTACATTGATGTGTGCCTGCTGCATTAGCACATTCCAGCACAGTTATTCTATCTTCGGCATCCTCAATTCCTGCAGGGGCTGTCTAATGAACTGTGGTCAGTGTTTTTCTGGAGGAACAATGCCAAAACAGTGATGTTTCATCAGCATCACAGAATTGTCCTGGTGTCAGATATTCATCAGTGATGACCCAGGCAAACTCATTGATAAATTTCTCCACTGCTTTGTAATCAGCAGATGTTTTGTCACCATGAATCTCTAAAGATTTAGTGCCATGTCTTTTCTTACATTTCTGTGGCCAGCCTGTTGAATATTTACAGTTCTCTTCAACTTTCAGTTCATTGTGCTAGATCTTTGCTTGTTTCATGATCAGCATATCATTATGTGGCATATGTTCAGCTACATGCTGACAAATTCAGTCTTTCAATACACAAGCAAGATCTTCATTATTAGCTTTATCCAGTGTTATTCTATTTTTCATTAGCTTCTGTTTGTCATTTTCAGCACAGGACTCCAACAGTTTATCCTTCTGTTTCTTCAGGTCACACAAAGTGTTCATTCCAACACTGCACTCTTCTCTAAGATGTTGCATACTTACACCATTCTCCCATTTCTCCAAAAGCTTGACTTTCTGTGCTACAGATAAACATAAATGTTTCCTCTTATTCTTTCCACTCTTACTCAGAGGGATAGCTGCAGGCCTTTTTGACATTTTCAACAATATCTCAACACCTCAGAGCATAGAATAAGCAACAAAACCCAGTGAGTAATGCACAAAGGTCTTGGTTCCATGTGGGGTATTTAGGAAAACCTTCCAGTGGTGTGTCTGGCCTGCACATGTGCCATTTTATTACCCTTTGTGGGTATGCTTCCCTGGGGAAGTCTGGGTATACATGAAAAAGATACATCACAGTTGAAAGGGGCTGAAAGTGTGTTTCTTTTTCCCCCTTTTGGGAACACTAAATAAACTGTGTTGTGTACATTTTGACTGTGACCCATCACATGAGGTCTGGTGTGGAAGTTTCCATTTGTGACATCATGTCAGCACTCAAGCTTTCAAATTTTGGAGCATTTCAGATTTTGGATTTTTGGATTATGGATGCTCAGCCTGTACTTCCCACTGTATCACATACACAAAGTGAAGTAAGTCACATTACATGTATGGTACAGGCTATAAAGAATTCTTTTAAATGAGTATATAAACATATATAGTGATTTTTTTTCTGCCTTTCCAACAGGAAATATCTCATTGATCACTCAAAGAAAAAAAAAAAAAAAAAAAAAAAAAGATTCACGCAAATATCAATATATTATCCTGAATATCTGATGAAAGTTAAGCTGTTCATTTTGAATCCTCAGGATGTTATCAATTTGTTTAAGATCCTTTAACATACTCTTTATATATATGTTTTAAGGTTAATTCGCTATTAAATCTCTCTCTCTCTGTCTCTCTCTCTCTCTCTCTCCCTCTTTATATATATATATATGTGTGTGTGTGTGTGTGTGTGTATATATATATTGTTTGAGGTTAATTTGATATTAAAATTATAATGCTAAATATTCTAGTTACAAATAAGGAATCAGAAGTAATTTTAGGTAAAAATCCATTGTAATAAGAATTGGACCCTATTCATTACATAGCTTGCTGCCACTTAACTAATTACTTTTTGGAGAAGTGGTACGACAGGCAAAAAATGTTGTGGTATAGTAAAAACAGTAAGAGTTTTATAACCTCAAACACGTCATTCTTTTACTATGAAACTTTACACCAACCACTTTAAATTTTTGGTTTAGTTTCCTTATTTATAAAATGGCGGTAATAGTACCTATACTCACCTATATCCAAAGTACTTAACAATATTCTTACAAGCTTCAAATTAAAATAAACTAACATACAATTCCTCTGATTTCAAATAATGACCTAATTAATTTGGTTATTCTTATTCTGTTACTTACGTGGACATTTCTTGACACAGAATGCTCCATACGTGTACTTTGCATTGAAATTGTGCTCCAGTTGAAAGGTGGTTGGATTGTAGACAAAGGTCTGGGGACACTGAGTAACACATGCTCCACTGTCATTGAAATTCATGCAGGCCTGCAACATAGCAAATATTACTTTCATTTACAAGTAAACTTCATAATACTTGTTAATCAAACACTGCCCAATATGCAAAAGTTGTTTTCTTAGTATATAATTATTCCATAGTACTAAAAAATTTGATAATTTTAGAGTCATGTATGTTTCTTAAATTTCATAAAATTTTTTTTGCAGTGTCACTAAATAGGTCATTTATGGTTACTGATGCTCAAAGTGATTAATATGTATCTAGTAATTTCTAAATTGAGAATTGGTTTAATGTTAGCTAACAGTGAAAAATTATTGAAGTTTACACTTACTCAAAGCATTTATGCTTAATCTTAGAGTACAGCACTTGCAACCAAATCCCTAATTCTACAGGGTAGACATTCACTTGAGCTAGTCATCATCCAGTCCAGCTACCCAGCATTGAGCAGGAAGTGCCGGTTCAAAATGTGTGGGTGAAGTCAATTAGAGCTGGTATTTTAAAGAGTTCCATGTCTCATGTGATGTGTAAAGCTAAATTATCACCATTGTCTAGTAAGAAAACATTGTGATGGTCATTTACATTGGACTTAAAGAAACGGCTCTGGTTGGTGACTAGCCAAATACCAATACAGTATACGCAATGCCAAAATGTAAAGAGATAACTAGCTATAATTAGCTTATAATTAAATAATATGATGTAATTTCTAGTAGGTCTTTTTTCCTAATGCCACTCCACTCAGTAAAAGCCATCACGTAGAAGTAAGTTCATTTCTGCTGACTCACATATTTATATTAAGAACTCAATTTATTAATATTTTCAAATTCATTTGGGAAGAATTAAAACAATTTTATCACCTGAGAGGTAGGCATTTGATATAAAAACAGAATATGTGTATTAGTCTATATAAACATGTGATTAACAAAAGTGTGGATGAGTTAATTCTTTTTATTAAGAAATCAAGCCATTTTAGGAATAATTTAGGGCTTGGGAAGCAAGCTAATCTGAATTCAAGCTACGATTTACATTTAATCATAAATAGTACATATGGTTATTAATAAGCATTAATCTATTCTGTTTCCTCAAAACATTTGCTTCATCAATTGTTGTTTTAGCAAGCGCTTTATCATAAACATGACAATTCCCTGATGATGGTCTACTAGATGCATAATCAGAACGAGACTTACTGATGATACATTATTCACTAAGATGACACATTCTAGGAAGAATCCATTAAAAACCAATCTAGAAAACTTAGTAAGTTTTAATTTATGGCTATAAAACTTCATGTGTCCTTATAATTGCTTTACTAACATATTTTATGCAATGTTGTACACAGATTGCTTGGGAACAAAGAAACATAAGTCAGAGGAATAAAACAAATTTACCTTTCAGACAGCATACAAAACAATGTAACTTACACTATGGCCTTAGTCTGGTATTTGAACATTCTGTACCAAAAGCCAAAGTGGAATCACTGGTCCATTCCATAAAAGTAATGGAGTGATAATTTGAAGTTCACTTAGTACTGTGCTTATCATGATAATGGAACCATGAAGAAAATTGCACTGCAAAACTTCTGAGAGTTTTTGCTATTGCTGTTTATTGTTGTTGTTTTGGAATTGTAATACAATACCTGCAGTGTTCAGTGTCCTCAGAATCAAGCTTCCATCCTCTGTCTGATGATAGACAGAAGAAGGTTCTCAGTTCAAGACTTGCTGAGTATCTCCTTTAAATTTTTAACATTATTTCCTTTTCTTCTTCCTCCCTATCCACTTCTGCTGTATGTATTTTTGTTTCACTATTGAATGAGTGCAGATGATAATATTTCTTATGATATTAATAAAACTAAGAAATTACTGTCCATATCATAAGAGCTTTAATATATAGTTTACTCATTTCTGCAATTAGGTTTTCTTTTCTTTTTTTTTAAAGCTCAATTCAACTACATATATTTGCTGGATATTTGAGAGAAAAAAATGTCTGTGTTCATTTTCAACTATAAAAATATTTGTGTATTTTTAAGATTTTTAGCTTTAAAATTAAACTGGTGTTCTTTGTATGTGAAATTGACTTAACTAAAACTCAGAATTGCTGATATGTATGCCAAAGAACAAAGAGTACTGTCAGGAATATGATATCAAAATATAAAAACTGTCCCTAACAAACTATTTGTAAATCTTAAATTTTTAAATAATATTACCTTTAAAAATATAAACTAGAAAATACTGAAACTCAAAAATATATCCTCTATAACATTTAAATTTATGTTCAAGAAATAAAATGCAATTGCTCCCACTCACAGAACTCAATGATGCAACCACATAAACAGGTAATCACTTAATCGCTACATTTCTAGAAAGGTTGCTATTAGATTCTAAAAAGATATCTCAATATATTCTCCAGTGAATCTCATTTGTAATATAAATTATATCAGAAAATACAATTCATTGAACAGAAGAGAATAATTCTAGTTAATCAATAGCCAACTCAGTGAGGGAATGACTTCAAGGAGGGCCGAGCATTTTTCTTAACCCTCAAGTGGCTAAAGTTGATCTTATTGTAATAAGATAAAGATTCAATATGCCTGAGCCAAATAGGGAGGGAAAGGGGAGCAGGATAATAAAAGAGAGAAATCGCAGACATACGAAACAGTCTGTGTCCTTAGGTCCTGAGCATCCTCCAGCACATTCTCGATGGCAGCAGTCACTGACGTAGGGTCCATAGCATCTGCCGTCACATTGTTCTGCACACACGGTCCTTGTCACTGCAGAAGACCGAGATAGGACCGTGATCAAAGTCTGCCACCAAGAGAAACTCATAAGCAGAGTTCTGGAATGACAATTTCTCAACCTCTTTGACTCAATTCAGTGCACATTTAATGAATGAGGTTTGCAACTAGAGCAAAATTGTTACACAAAAATCTCCAAAATTAATATATAATTTTTTTATATTCTTTCTTGTTTTCGCAAATAATTATAGTGCTTTATGACAATTATACAACTTAACAAGAAAGACTCCAATCTGAAGCCAGGCACAGTGGAGTGTGCCTGTAATCCCAACTACTTGGGAGGCTGAGACAGGAGGACTGCTTGAGGCCAGCAGTTCAAGGATACAGTGGGCTATGACTGCACTTGTGAATAGTCACTGCGCTCCAGCCTGGGCAGCATAGCATGACTCTGTCTCTAAAATTAGTAAAAGAAAAACAGAAATGACTAAATAGGCATTTGGCAGGCTAGGAAAGGTGAAGTTAAGTCACACAATGGGTATAGTAAGCTCCTAGTAGAAGGTGTCCCCAGAAATGGGTCTGAGATTTTCAGTAGTCAATGTAGAAAGGGACACATAAATGTTTAATTAATTCACATAATATTTTACATGAGGAAAGAAAGAAAAAAGTCAAGAAAATAAGGGAAGGGGAGGGATGGGGAGGAAAGGGAGGAAGGAAAGAAAGAAAGAAGGAAAGAAAGCCATTCATAGTAAACACAACAAAAAGTATCATTGCTCTTTTCTTATAACATGCTTCAATCCAAGCTGACAGTATCATATAAAGGATACTTTAGTAAAACCAATGCTAAAGATTATGCATTAAAATTATAGTAATAAGAGACAAAATTCTGCTCTTCTCACTAATTCCAAAAAATATTTTTACAGTATTTAAGGTACGAATTTTACAGGAGATGTATAGCATATAATTTCATGGTTTCTGTATTTTCACTTCAGCCTTGTTTCTGCCCACATTTAAAAATAATTCTTCTAAGCTTTCTTTGTTGCTACTTATCAAGATTCTGCCTCGTAAACATTAGCATTCCCCAGACTTGTTCTTGACAATTTTTTGGTGGTGGGGGGACTATGGCTCATTCCTGGGTAAAGTCATTCATCTTCTACTTAGCATACTATGAGTAGATGACTTTCAGATCTAGAACTGAGTTCTCTATGGAGCTGCGGCATGTATTTCCAGCTGTCTACAGAAGTCCCCATTTTGATATGCAAGGTGTAAAACACAGAACGTAACTTTCCTCCCACACCCACTACTGAGTGGATTTCTCCTCTAAGTTCCCTTATCTCAATTAATGGAAGCCATATATCCAGCCGCTTGCTAGCAATTTGTAATGTATTTTCTGTCTCCTATCCCCTCATCATCACTTCTCATACCTAATAACATTGCCAAGTATTAGCAATTGTTTCCTAAATATTTCTCAGTAGATTCCCTCTTTTCTATTCCAACTTTATTCAAAAGCCTCTCTCTAAATTATTATGCAGTATTCTAAAAGTTTTCTCAGATCTCATCTTTTCTTTCCAGTTAATCCTCCACAAGGCCCTAAAAGTAATGGCTTGAAACTGCAAATATCAATGCCTATAAATCAGTGTTGATTCCCAGTATGAAACTTCTGACCATCCCTGTACTAAGGATTAAGCCTTTGGCAAGGGACAAAAGTCCTCCATAAGTTGACCACCATGTCTACCCTTCCAGGAATCTCATCACTCTAACTCTGTTTCTCACATCCAGTCAGATAGAAATACCACTTGCTATTCAGCTGTGATTCTCATTGCATCTTCACAAGGCATTTCTCCATGTTAAAAACTTTTCCTAGCCTCTCAGCGTGGGAAATACTTGCTCTGAAACCTTTCCAGACATAGCTTCTAGCTGAGTTATTTTCTCACTCTTGCTTCTGAACAATAAAGAAGATAAAGTTAATGCAGCAGTATAGATAGTCTGAAGATCTAGGTTCAAATCCAAAATATGTCCATGTGATATGGGCAAGTTATTTAACCACTCTGTAGTTTACTTAACCATTTTTAAGATGGAGTTAGTATCAGTACTCATCTAATAGGACTGAGGATAAATATAGAGGTATAAAGTGCTTTACATGGTCCCTATTAACAGTGCTCAGCAACTTATTTTTATTGCACTTATACATTGTATTTTTTTCATGTTTGCTTCAACTTCCACTAAACTATGGCTTTGTTGAAGTTTATTGTATTCCTTAAGTTTTAATCTTCAGTGATAAATACAAAGTTTTTTTACTTAACACACAATATAAGTAAGTATCCCCTCCAAGTAAATAGATAAGTCCTATATTGCTAATTCAATGGCAGTATCTTCTGGGTGCTTAATATATTTATCAGAGACATAAAAAGGTATAGAGAGTTAAAGAAGTAGGTCACTAAGAAATACAAATAGATATTAAAATACTAAGAAACAGATCATATGAAAATACATATAAATTGAAATCATTGTTAATTTCCATTATTAGATTTAAATGCTCCTTCACTTCTGCTGTTGATTATTTCATGATTTCATATTTATACTTTGGATCCTCTTCCACTGAACATGATGATGGTATTCATAAAATAATGCACAATATTGAATATGAAGAATATTATTCTATTTGAGGTTACCTAATTATTCTCTATGAAGTACAATCAATGCAAACATCAAATATAGTTTAAACTAAAATGGCACTTGGACTCACCCTCTGTCATGTTTTTATTTTGTAAAAATAAGGTTACATGCTATTTTTTACCATAAGCTTTAGAAGATTTGGAAAATCATAAAATTTTTACATCTGGATTCGTGAAGGTGTATTTTGTATTTGCAATTTGGGTTACACTAAACTTCAAAATAAATTATTTCTTCTATTAGTGTTCTGGTACAAAATTCTACATAATAAATCCTCTTGGCCTATCCCTTCATCTTCTTTAAGTCTTTGATCAAATCACACCTTTGTAGTAAAGTCTGCCGCTGTTTAACACTGAATCTTTCCCAATCAACTGACCCCTTATGAACATTTCTCTTCTTTTTTCTCTTTCTTTCTTTCATCTCCCTTCCTTCCTGTATTTTGTTACAGCATCAATTACCATCTAACATATTTCACAACTTACTTATTACATGTATTTTGTTTCTTGGTGTATTGCTATGTTTGAAACTGTAATTGGCATTTACATAGTTTTATTTATATTTATATTGGATACACACTACATATACATATGATATATATATATATATCATATGTACCCAAACAATTTATATCCACTCATTAACTCTTCGTGTCACACATTATGCTTATATTGATATTTCCATCTTTTAACCAAGTAGTATATTTTAGATGCCCTAATTAGTAATTCATACAATGTAAAGGAAACTTTTTAAAAGGAAACACTTTTAATAGACAGTTTTGTACAGAATAAATTCAAACACAATTCTTCTCTTCTAGGTTCAATAAAGTGCTCTGATGTATCAACAGTCACCAATTAAAATAGCAGACATTTGTTAAATAAATAAATTACTAGATTTGAAATGTGTTATCACAGGACAGTTTATCAATTTGCTTCTATTTGACAGCTATTGCTCGGCTGGGAAACAATAGCATGGAGTCAACAATCATATTTTAATAATATGTCACATCATATTTTAATCATAGATATGTCTAAGTGCTACTTTTTATTTTTAGCCCTACAGAGATTTAACGTAACTAGACAAAATGTTTCAGTGCCTCTTTATTTATTTACTTTGGTTTATCCTGCCAAATGAGAAAATCAATGCAGAAAATAATTATAATGACAAGACAAGTAACCCTGAATTTAGTTAAAATTATTAAACAATCATGTTAAAATTTCTGAGTACTCTATTTAAATACAAAAATAGTATGTTATAAATATAATCCAACATAGTATAATATTTGACTCCATAGCAATTATTATGCTATGGAACTATTAAGACATTTTAAATTATTTAATCATTTGTGTTAAATTAACTTTAAATTTTTGAAAATGGCAATTTTTTCCACATAGTGGTCAAATATTTCATATTTTTCAGGGCACTTTGATTTCAGATATTATATTCCATTTTAGAAACATGCAAAAAATTCCTCTATATTATTATCCAAATGCAGATGCATTCTACACTTCTTATTTAACATGTTAAAAGGGAATTATGGTTTGTATTTTCCAAAAATAGTCTATAATTGATTTTTTTATATATACTACATTCAACATTAAATATAAGGTGTTTCACCATCAAGATTTTTACATCCCTTAATTCCAAATGAAAATTCAATAAGCATGAAGCATTTAGACAAATAAAAGGTAGGCAAAACACACACACACACACACACACACACACACACACGCACACACACAATAAAGCTTGATTTCTAAACAGTGATGGGTTAAAAAATATTTCTTTATATGATTATATGAGACTTGTATCAAGAAAGAAAATATTCCTTTAAACAATTCAAGGCTACATGCAGGACAAGTGGAAGGGCATCATAGAGTAAATTTATTTAGTAGCATTTTTTGATTAATAAACATTACTTAATGTGAATAAACTCATCAAATTATGCTCATATTTTATTTTGATGGAGACACAAAACAAAAAATACAATTCCTGAAATAAATGAGGTAAGTCAGCCTCTACAGGAACATTAACTTATAACTGCTTTGGTTTTTATTAATTCCATCCTTGCCCAAATATTTCATTACATTTTTTTTCTTGTATTTAGTATCCTTTCTAAATTGCTTCACTGGGTACATTAAAATATTTGGGTCCAGTTTTAACTAGCTTAATCATTGGTGATATGCACTAAATGTGATTAATATAAAACGTAAAACCTGGGATGTTAAACTCCTTATATTGGTGTCACTAAACTTGACATGGGGAATGTGAATTCTTTCAAAATATCCATTAGAGAATTAGATGGGTAACATTAAAGGAATCACACATTTCATGGTAAGCCAATACTGCTGAGAGAATATCTTATCAAG